TCTGAGCCCCGCCTGTGCCCGCAGAGCTCCCGGCACTCCAAGCTGGAGAAGGCCGACATCCTGGAGATGACCGTCAAGCACCTGCGGAGCCTCCAGCGAGCCCAGATGACCGGTGAGTCCCGGGGGAACCGGGGAGGGGGGCGCTGGGGGCATCGCGCTCTCTGCCTGCATCCCGGGTAACGGGGGCACCCGGCTCCACACCTGCATCCCCGGTACTGGGGGGTGATGGGGGCACTGTGCTCTGTACCTGTATCCCTGCTACAGGGGGCCAGTGGGCTCCCTGCTTGCATCCAGGGTGCTGGGGGGCTGTGGGGGTCACAGTGCTCCCCGCCCGTATCCAGGATGCTGGGGGGCTGTGGGGGGCACAGTGCTCCCCGCCTGCATCCAGGGTGGCCGGGGCACCACGCTCTCTACCTGTATCCTTAGTATAGGGAGGCTGTGGGGGGCACTGTGCTCTCTGTCTGCACCCTTGGTGCTGGAGGGCACTGGGAGGGCTGCAATCCCGGCTTGGGTCCACTCTACCGGCAGAGCTGTGCTCCCCACCTGGATCTGTTTTGGGGGGACGGGAGGCACAGGAGCCACCAGGAGGACTGTGCTCCCAACCTGGCTCCCCAGTACTTAAGGGCACAGGAGGATGCTTGCGGGTTGTCTGTTCCCCACCTGGATCCCTGGTACTGGTGGACTTGGTGGTGGAGGGGCCGTGCTCTCCATGCAGATCCTCGGCACCCGGGAGCACAAGACACGCTGCCAGAGGGGCTGTACTCCCCGCCTGGATTCCTAGCTCAGAGGGACTGCAGGATGCAACGCTGGTGGGCTGCACACCCCCATTCCTTGCGGAGCCTGCTGACCGCTGTGCTCCTCTCTCCCCCTGCAGCTGCGCTGAGCACAGACCCCACGGTGCTGGGCAAGTACCGCGCCGGCTTCAGCGAGTGCATGAACGAGGTGACACGGTTCCTCTCCACCTGCGAGGGCGTCAACACTGAGGTGCGCACCCGGCTCCTGGGCCACCTGGCCAGCTGCATGACCCAGATCAACGCCATGAACTACCCTGCGCCCCCCCCACCGCCCCCGCTGCCACCAGCCGCAGCCTTCGGGCCACCCCTGGTGCCACCGGGCAGCGGCACGGGGCCGCTCCCGGGCATGCCCTGCAAGCCGGGCACCGACGCAGCCAAGGTGTATGGTGGCTTCCAGCTGCTGCCGGCTTCTGATGGGCAATTTGCCTTCCTCATCCCCAGCACTGCCTTTGCTCCTGGCGGTGCTGTGCTGCCCCTGTACGGCGGGCCACCCCAGGCGGCCCCCATGCCACTGCCGCCTCACCGCCTGGCCCGCCACCTGGCACGGCCGACTCGGTCTGGAGACCCTGGTGAGGGTGGTAGGCATCGGACTGAACTGAGCACTGCACCCCGTGCTGCTGGCACGGCTGTACATAGGTTATATGTTCATATTGGATTGTGCCTTTGTACCATAGCACTCCCTTGACAGTGTTTCGTGTTTTACACGAGATCTTTTTTCTCCCTTCCCTCCCCTTCCTTATGTGACACCAAAGATCGGGGTTTTTTTTTTTTGAATGCTCTTAAAATAAAAGTATCCCTTCCATTTTGGAAGGCCTTTGGAGATAAGTCGGAGTGCTGGTGTGTGCGCATAGGAGGGAGCCCAGCTCCTGGCTTGCTCCTGGCTGCCTGTGGATCCTGCTGCTCCAGGGCTGCCTTCTCCTGCTCTCCAGGCTGGAGCTGTCACTCAGACCCTCTGTCCCCTCTCTCTGCCCCGGGGCAGATGTAATTACTGCTTCCTTGGGAGCAGCTCAGCTGATCAGACTTGTTAAAAAGAGCTTATGCTTGCAGAGCTGGTGAATGCGCTGAGGGAGGTACCTCTGCTCTGGTCCTGGCTCCTTGGGCTGACGGAGTGGAGTAGCCCAGGTAAAGCGAGACGGATTCGGCACAGAGCCTGACAGCCCTGCTCCCAGTCTCGGCTGCCCGGGTGAGCCTCCTGCTCTGGACCCGGAGGGGCCCGCTCCTGGGCCATGTTGTAAATCGCGAATTACTTCAGTCAGTTGATTTAGAGAGCGGTGCCTGCCAGCTTCTCGTGTTACAAAAACAGCGGCTCTCCGCAGGACAAGCCTGACACGAGTGCTCCTGTCTCCTGGCTGACAGGCTGCAGCAGGCGCTGGGCACCACCTCCACCTGGACTTAAGAGCGCAGAGCTGTTCCCAGCCCTGAGCACCGGCCAGGCTCTGCTTGATGATTGATGCTCTGCATGTGTTTTTGATAGAGTTGGGCATTTCCTCTGCTGTTAATGGAAAACATGTGTCTGGGGGAGTGATATGGGGCTGTGCGGACTATCTTTCTCTATAACCATGAGTGGCAACTGACCCCTTTGATTTGGGGATGCCCCATTTCTAGGCAAGATGCAAGCCCCAGATAGAGGTGAGCGGCAGTCTCGGGTTACAGCTTGCATCACCTTTCTTAACAAGTCCTTACTCAGAGCGGACAGCTTTAAAATGTGCCAAGATCCACTGGGGATTCCTTCCAAATCCTGCTGCAAAAGCTTGTTGGATTTTGTCTGGATCAGCCAGGTGCTTGACTGTATCCAGGTGCTGGGGAAATGAAAGCTGGGGAGAGTGTGAGACCAGACAGATTAAACCTGCTGGGGTTTGAATCCCTCCCCAGCTTTCCCCCATTCTCCCTGTATACAAACATATCCTCCTTGCCTGAAAATACTTCTTGGGACGGATTTTGGAGGGGGAGAGAGGTGGGGGGTGTCTGGGATCTCTGTCTGCAGGGTGTACTGATGAGGTTGGGGCCAGCCCTTTTAAAAGGGACTGCAGGGGCTCATCTCCCTGGGTGATGTAGAGCTTCCCCTTCTCTGTCTGCCAACACCTTGCTGGCCTGCCTGCATTGCCACCCTCACGGTGGCATTTCGCAGCCAGGTTTTGTGTGCCAGGCTTGGGAATATTGGATTTGCTGTCCCTAGGCAGGCGTGTAGCTGTCTGGGCTGAGCCTCCCTTCCCGTCCACCAGCCACAGTGTCACCTTTCTGTGCTGGAGGTACCGAGGGCAGGACTGAGCCCACCTTGTGTTCAGAGAAATGCTCTCAGGAGCTGTCTGTCTGGGAATTGCATCAGACCAGCTCCTGCTGCTGGACGGCCTGTGTGGAGTTGATGCAGACTCAGTAATGCATCACCTGTAAGAGCTGAGGCTCTTCCAGCTTAGCAGAGTCTTCCTTTTCTGCTGAAGCAGTTGGTTTGGAAAGCGCATTAGAAAAAAGACAGACTTCGCTGTAGGCTAATGGAGAACACATAGCAGATCCAGGAGTGAAAGACAAGACGAACCTATTTGCTAATGGAGTTTAAATAGCCTAGTATAAAGCAGATATACTATGCTTGGACCGGTTTCTCCAAAGCTTTCTGTGTTTACTCTATCCCACAGCCTGTTGACATGAGAGATCTGCTTGAGTTTGTGAGCTTTGAGGGGATCAGAGCAATTCCCAGGAGCTGTGCTCTTGATGCCAATTCACTGAGCCCGTGACAAATTGGGATGACAAATGCAGGCTGTGGGTCTGTGCATCATTCTGTGCAGGAGTTGCCCTTCAGGTGCAGCAAGTGCCTTCAAACTGGGGCTGTGGGATGAGCAGGTGAGGGTAAGGAGGGATGGGGAGTGCCAGGGAAGGGACAGGGCTGAGCTGCTGGATGGTGGCTTCTCGTTTGTCCGCGACCCTGCACAGGGCTGTGCAGGACAGGTAGGAAAAGGGACTGGAGTCTGCTGCCGGATGGGACACAGCTCCCATTGGCTTCCCTGGACACCCTGGTGAGCCCTGCCCGCCAGCAGAGAGGACCCTGGGGAAGGCTGGAGCCAGGTCTGTCCATCTCAGGTTATCGCTCTTGGGCTTGTAGGCAGTTCGCCACAATCCGGTGCGTGCATTTGCAGCCTGGGGAGTGCTGAGCTGACTGGAGCGGTGCTCCATCCCTGCCCGCAGCGCACCTGCGTGGGGGTCTGCGGGCAGGGGGCTTTGCCTGCCTCCCCCAGCACCCTGCCATCATCCTCCTGCTCCCTCAGGGCTTGCATCCCTGGCTGCCCCTCGCATCCCTGCAGCTCCCTTCCATCGGCCGCTGCTGCCGTCCCGGGAAACCTGTCATTAAAGTCAATTAACTTTTCCCACACTCCTCGCAAGCGGCGCAAAAACCCTTCCTCGCTTCCTCCTTGGCTCTTAAGTGCTACCATATGGCACGGGCCCCCGCGCCCGCCCTGCCTTTGATTCCAGCCAGACAGCCTGAGCTTTATGATTTAAGCCGGGAGAGCCCTCGTACCAAGCCCTGGGCTGCTCTGCGGCCAAGGTGGTTTTTTTAGCAGGCAAGGCTGTTTTCTGGCAGGAAATGAATAGCTCCCAGATGAGCTCAGGAACCTGAGAGGTCGTGAGAAAGGAGCGAACCCCCGGCGCGGTGGCGGGCTGCCAGGCGGCGCGGGGAGCGCGGGAGGGAGCACGCCGACGCCGCCGGC